GATTAAAGGAATACAAATTATTTTCTTGTACATTTTGATTGGCATAGTGTGGCTGGCATTTCCTTGTTCCAGTCAGAGGTTTTCTACACAAATCCGAGTACTCAAAATTTGATAGCATATTTGAATTTAGTTAGCACACTTACAATTGACCATGTGAGTGACGTTTCACAGCGTCACAAATCTGTATCAAAAACAAAAGGCCAGAACCTTAGATGATGCAAGTAAACATAATTCTACTGAAGGTAATGGAGCTATGCCAGTTTAAAAAAGTTGTGGATCTGGCTCAGTGGAACAGATCGAGTCATGACATAAGCAGATACAACTCCAAAAACTCAGGTATTAACTGTACCCATTTACATAAGGGCTGAATTTGGTCCATAATACCTACATCTCCAATTTAGTATTAAATATTCTGTAATAAAGTAAATTAAAAAAATACCTGAATCTCTCTTGTCCTGCTGTGTCCCATATCTGTAACTTTACATATTTACCCCCTACATTTATTATCTTTGAACCAAATTCCACTCCTATAGTATGATTTGAGTCATCTTTGACTAAAATAGAAAGAAAAAACAGATTTAGTATTTTGAGAACATTTCATGTTTATGATTAGATGCTTTTACTGAACTTGGAAACATTTCAATACATATTCATTCATTGTGAAGGCAAGAGCAGAGACAGCAAAAGTGCCATTAAAAATAGATGTCTACCATTTACTGCAAATACTAAATAAATCCCCTTCCATGAAGCATATGCTCTCTCTATAGGCTGGATCAAAACTCTTCAGATGTAGCCATGAAGTTACAAATTGATCAAAGGACCAGATGAATTACCTATAATCCAGCACATATTCAGTGTCAGCAACACATTTTCCCCTCAACATTTTTGAATGCACTGCTCAATTCAAAATACCACTGCAGGAAAGGTTCTTTTTTAAAAGAAAGCCACTTTGTAATACTGAATTCACTAGCAATTTTTTGAATAATTTTAATGTCTGTTTACTAAGGCTCTACATTTTAAAAACTGAGCAATTCACTGCAATAGTAGAACAGAAAGGACTCAGTCTTGTCCACAAATACGCAGGCTCTCTTTTGCCATAAAGTAAAAGCTTAAGCATAGGACCACGCCCCAGTGCATAATTATGGGTCCATATGAGTGCTGTATGGGTCACACAGGAAGTAAAACAGTTCATTAACTAGCCAAAATAAACAGTACATGATGCATACTTCTATGTTTCAGAATCTCAATTCTTTTGTTTAAACATCATAAGGCAGGGGAGGGGAACCTTTTTTGGATCGGAGGCTGCTGACCAACAGGAAAAAAAAAATTAAAAAAAAAAAAAACAGTCAGTGGCCACACACAAGGGAGAAGTTTAAAAAAAAAAAACCACAAAAAAACACACAATCCACTTCACTGATGTGGCCCCCAACTGAGGAGTAGAAAGACACTTTCCACATTCCCTTTGCACACCAGAGCCTGGAGAGGCCTGGACTAGTAGATTTTGTGCGTGCCAGGCCGCAGAGGGACAGCAGAAGGGCTGGAGTGCCAGCACAAGCTCTTCAATGCTGGGGGAAGGGAAGCCCCAAGCCTTGTGGGCTGGATCCAGGCAAGCCAAGGGCCGGATGGTTCCCCACCCCTGTGATAAGGAATGCAAGACTCAAACCGATAAATGTAAGATAAACCAGTGAAACATTTGGCCCCACAACAAGCGTCAAAATATCTGCCAGCTACTTAACATGAAAGGTAGGGTTGTCTATCAGTCACAGCAAGAGACTAAATATTGAGACTTTCTAGGTGTCCTTGGGAAACTAAATTCTTTCTGCTTTGGCTGCCCATCTAGATAAATAGCAATAAAACCTTCTCATCTTTGTAAAATGCTTCGAGAGCATTATGCATTACCTTCCCTCATAGTGGCATAAGAGTGCCTTTATAGCTAAGGCTGACTCGACATCTGTGCAAAAAAAAAAAAAAAAAGAAGAAGAAGATTCCTCTGAATTCTGGTGTGCACGAGCAGGTAAGATTGGACACACAAATCTGGAGTAATTTTAGCCTAGAGTTCCAGAGATTTCACTCCCCAAAGAGTGATTTTTTTTTTTTTTAAAGAAAAGTGGGTGTTTTTTTTTTTTTAAATGTCCTGAGCTAGAGATCAAACTTCTGTTTTTTCTGTATTGGAACATGTACACTGTAAATCATCAGAATTTCCATAGCTATCACCCATATGCTTTAAACTGGTCTCTTGTAAGTACTCTAAAAATTAATTAGATTACTCTAAAATCTGGTATGCTTCATGGGGACACACGATAGTGTTTGTGATCCAAATTTGGGGTCATTTGACCAAGAGGTTCCCACGTTATAGCACCCTAACAAAATGGTTACTTCTGCTGCCTTATACCCTTAAACAGAGATATTAGAAATGGATGAGTCACAGACCTCAATGCCTGTGAACTCACCATTCAATTAACATAATCATAACTCCCCACTTAATACAAAAGAGTTTTGAACTGAGAGGCTGGAAGTTGCTGCAATTTGAGGCTTGGGCCTGGCCTACACTATAGGTGGCTTATGTTGATTTAACTTTAATAAGCGTCTACACTAAAGTTTCATCCACCATTGTATCTGACCCACTTTGTCAGCTTCACTCCATCTCCGTGAAAGGCACAGAGAGTTAAAGCTCATGTCAGAGCAAAGTAGTGCCAAGCTAGACACTGCACTGCTTACACTGACACTGACTGCCTTTGCAAAAATATCCCACAACACCTACATAGACAGTAGGAAAGCTCCTGGTGAGCATATGCTTGCTGACACAACGAGCAAAGCGTAGACACACAAATGATGCAATTGCTGCAGAAGCTGTATGCCAGTGTAAATTAAATCTACTAATGTAGACATATCTTTGTTCTACAGTAGCAACTTGTACCACTATAACTATGTTGTTCAGGGATTGTATAAAAGGAAAACATCTATAAAATCAATACTCCTGAGCCAGCAGGGTTTTATGTACCTAATTCTAAGTGTAAACAACACTATGTTGATGAAAGCACTTCTCCTGTTGACATAGATAATCCACCCCCCACCCCTCTACATGTAGCTATGCCAGGGCTGGGCAAAACATGGCCTGGGGGTCATATCCAGCCTGCCAACTCATACAGCTGCTGCAGTTTAAAGCACTGTTCGTGCAGCTCTTTCCTACAGAAGGAGGGGGAGGCTTCATGTGATTTTCCCACTGAGAGCCCAATCCTCAACTCCTATTGGCTGGAAACAACCAGCCAATAGGAACTGAGAGATTGGCCTGGGGGATGCGGCAGTGCAAGACTCAGCTCCCAGATGGGGAAGAGAGCCACACGGAGGGAGAAGCCTGCAATTTAAAGTGATCTGGAGTTGCAGCAGTTAGGTAGCCCAGCCTGCCTGCAGACACTTAGGTAAGCTCCTCCCAGCCAGAGCCTGCCTCTGGCCCCCCCCCCCTCCTGCCCCCCAATTCCCTCCCCAGATCACCATCCAAGCCCTCTGCTCTGCCCCCCAGGTCACAACTCCCACCCAAGACCCTATTTCTCCCCCCCCCCCCCACACTTCTTTCCTGGCCCAGAATCCTCTCCTGCACCCATACTCCCTCCCTGATCCTACACTCCAATCTCCTAACCTAGATCACAACCTCCTCCTTTGCTCAAACTCCCTTTCAGACCTCACACCAGTCCCTTAACTCATGCACCCTTCTGCGCCCCAGCCTCCATCCTAGACCCTGCACCAACTCTACAGGGAAGTGCAGCCCTTCACCACTTTACAAAATCTTGGAGTGGCCCCTGACCAAAAATTATTGCCCACCCTGATCTATTCCAAGGGGAGAAGTCCTCCCGTTGGTGTAGGTAGTTTCTTCACTGCTGCAGCATTTTAAGACTAGACAAGACCTGACAATAAGGGAAGCAGTTTCATTTTGGAGGGGATCAAACTACTGGGGGAGAGGTGTTGAATGTGTGAAGGCTACAAAGGAACAGTGCAGGATTGGGGCTGCACTGAAGGGAGGGGAAATATGAAGATGGGATGGTAGGGGTGGTGAGAGATCCGGGGCTTAAGTGAGGAAGACATAACTCTCAGCCCCCTGAAATATGTAGGCTATTCTTTCTGAGGAGCTGGCTAAGTGTGAATGTATGTCAGGATCTAGATCCTCCTGAACCTTAATTAATGGAGATTACTTATCTCCTAGAATTGGAAGGGACTTTGAAAGGTCATTATGTCCAGTCCCCTGCCTTCACAGCAGGACCAAGTACCATCCCTGACAAATTCTTTTTTCCAAATGGCCTCCGCAAGGATTGAACTCATAACCTTGGGTTTAGCAGGCCAATGCTCAAACCACTGAGCTATCCCTCCCCCATGCCAAGAGCCACTGTGCATAATAAGACATTGCTTGAAGAGGATATGGACAATCTGTTCTTCCCTTTTGTTCTATAATACCGTTAAGTGGAATCCTGGGGGAAAACAGAGGCTGTAAAAGGAAGCAAAGAGCTCAGCAACTGGAGTTGGCAGAGTAAATATATGCATGTTAATGGGGCGTATGGCAGCATTGCTGGTTTTCAGAACTCAATATTCTGCACAGGAATGACATGCCAACAAGCAACTTTAACTCTGTATTAAAGCAATTTTTTGCCACTGAACATAAATGAGTGTATATCTGTCTATTGTATTAACAAGTGTTAGCGCAGTCCATTCTGGCATCAGAAACTTGGTAGCTTTACTTTGCTTAAATGCTCACTACTAGCATGCCCTAGTATGGCTTACTTGGACAGTGTGAACATGAATTACTGTGCATTAGAGCATAGATTATCTCCTGCTGTAGACTACAGCGCAGTTTTAGAACATGGTTCTGAACACAATTCTCAGACAAAACATTATCTGCACAGGTTAAAGAAATGTTGCTAGTAGGAAAAAGTAGGTGCCAGTGTGGACAGAGCTTTAAAACTACCATACGGTGAAACAGACATCACTATGACCAGATATAAATTACTTACATTTCTTCTCAATAAACTGATGAAGTAAACAGGACTTGCCCGTTCCAGCATTTCCAATAACTAAGAATTTAAACAGGAAATCTGAAGAATAATAAAAAAAAAGACAAATATGAACACTGAAAGAACCAACTATGAGACATTTACTACTGCTTTAGGATCCACTTTTTGTATTGTAAACAGAAAAAGTAATGGTAAGGAGAAAAGTCTTCAGTCAGCCAACAGCTGTTATTCTAAAGAGGAAGAATAGATAGGAAACTTAGAAAAACGGCCATAAACGTAAGGAAAAGAGTATCTATAAAGGAGTTAAAGCTAGAGCACTGTTTATGGAGCTACAAGGATAGATACGTTAAAAAGCAGAAGAGCTGGATTAAGAGGGCCGTTGCGAAGAAGGGCGGGGAGGCAGGGAGAAAACAAACCAACACCAAAGGTAGGTGGCCTTTTAGTATTCCACAAAGCTATGTTCTTGTTTTTCCGGAATCCTCATTTCTCTCAATGAGAGCCCTAACACTATTTTGAAAAGCTTCCAAGGGTTAGCCGAGTTAGTCTTTAAGGTGCTGCTAAACTATTCAATTTTTTAAAGTTTTTTCCAGTTACAGACTAACAAAACATGTAGATGGAATCATTAGATTTCTTGGGTATAACCCACTTCTTCAGATGTATGGAGTTATTAAAAGTCCAGTTCCAAAATAAATAGGGGATGGAGTCATTTTAAGTTGCTTGGACATTACAACACAGTTCTTACATGTGAGGACTTTTTTTAAAGTCAGAACGAAAGTCATATACTCAAAGATCTGGGAATTAGTTCTTATTAAATGCAGAAGTGATATTACTTAGAATTAGTAACATTTTCACACCCCATAGCACAAGAGAGGATTTATTTTAAACAAATGAAAACTGATCAGCTTCACTAGTTCTTACATCCAGAGAACACAGAAAAAGCCAATTTTAAGACAGTCAAGAGAAAATGAAGCATTGTGATTTGTAACTAACAAGAAATTCACTAGCATGCTGGACTAAATGTATATTCAATTCCAGATGTACTGTTTCACAAAATGATTGTTAGAGTCCAGAAAACACTGTGGCATAAACAGCACAAATAAAACGGCTGAATTCAAGTAAGATGCATTTAACCAAATATATAAGTCAATTTGTAGGGAATAAATAAGTTTCTAGTATAATAACGTCACCTACAATGATAAATTAAGAAAAACTCAGTTCTTAAAAACAGTACAGTAATCTTCTGATAATCCGGCACCTTTAGGACCCAGAGAGTGACAGATTATCAGATAGCCCCCCCTTCCAATAGTCCAGCTCTGCTCCAGGCGTTCCCGATTCAGCTGCTGCTGGTCAGTTTCAGCAACAGCTGACTTGGGGACGCCTGGGGCAGAGCAGCCGGGGTGCTGCCAGGTTGGTCCGGTAGCGCCGAGGGGCACATCCCCCCCACTCCACACCAGACACCTCATAGTTCCCCCTTCCAATAGTCTGGCATATCTGATGATCCGGCACCCCCTGGGTCCTAAAGGTGCCAGATTATCGGAAGTTTACTGTAGAATGTAAGTAAAAGGAGACTTATGGTTACTCTTATATGGGGAAGGTCTAGAATACCAGAGGTGCAAAGGTGGCTTAAAGAGACCTTTCTCCACAACTTATGGTGAGGGAGGGGGAACAGAATATTCAGAATTGGGGCCAAAGTTTTCTGTAGATGTTTTGAAGCTTTCAAAAGTTTTTCTTGAGTTTCTTTACCGACCTTTTCATTATATGTTTTCCCATGCATAGCACTGCACTCTAAGAGGCATTTTAAAACAAAAACAGAGTTGCTTTAAAGCAGTGTTTCTTAAACTTTTTCAGCACCCCCAGCTTTCCCGATTCAGCTGCTGAATATAATTAAACCCTACCCAACTCTAACTATCGTTACAGAACAGAAGAAAAGCCAGCTATTCAATTTCCTTTTGCTGATTTAATGACATTAAGGGCAAGAATATAAAAAAACTGGGCAGCTTTTCTCTTGCCTATAATTACTTGTCTTTTGGTCATCAAAGCACCTCATGCAGTCAGATGTTCAAACTACCAAGTGACCTGAATTGGGTCTGCAAATAATTGCAGACACCAAAAAGAGACCACACAAAAACTGAAACCCAAGGCTGGGAGATCTGCTCCCACCACTACATTAAGAAACATAGGGTAGTGGTGGTCAGAGACTCTCTTCTGAGGGGGACGGAGGCACCCATCTGTCCTCCTGACATTTCATCTCGGGACGTATGATGTCTGCCCGTATCAGAGATGTTACGGAGGCATTGTCGAGGATTATCCGGCCCTCTGACTACTACCCCATGCTACTCATCCATGTGGGCACAAATAATACTGCGAGGTGTGACCCTGAGCAGATCAAGAGTGACTACAGGGCTCTGGGAGTACGGGTGAAGGAGTCTGGAGCGCAGGTGGTATTCTCTTCAATCCTTCCTGCTCCGGGCAGAGACAGGTGCATCCTGGAGGTGAATGCCTGAGTGAGAGAATGGTGTCACCGGGAGGGCTTTGGCTTCCTCGACCATGGGATGCTATTCCAGGAAGGACTGCTGGGCAGAGATTGCATTCACCTTTCAAGGAGGGGGAAGACCCCATTTGGACACAGACTGGCTAACCTAGTGAGGAGGGCTTTAAACTAGGTTCGATAGGGACAGGAGAGCAAAGCCCACAGGAAAGTGGAGAACTTGGAGACCTGGGAGATGGGACGGAAATTGGAGGGAGCGTGGACTATAATAGCAGAGAGAAAGAGGGTCAGAGCAAAACTTGGAGGCAAGGTCAAATCAGTATTTTAGATGCCTATATACAAGTGAGAAGTATGGGTAATAAGCAGGAAAAACTGGAAGTGCTAATAAGTACAATTATGACATTGTTGGCATCACAGAAACTTGGTGGGATAATACACACGATTGGAAAGTTTGCATGGAAGGGTACAGCTTGCTCCGGAAGGATATACAGGGAAAAAAGGGAGGAGGTGTTGCTTTATATATTAAAAATGAACACTTGGAGTGAGGTGGAGATGGACATAGGAGACGGAAGTGTTGAGAGTCTCTGGGTTAGGCTAAAAGGGGTTAAAAACAAGGGTGATGTCATGCTAGGAGTCTACTACAGGCCACCTACCCAG